GTCAAAGACAGTGGGAGAAGGCTGATTAAGAGAAAGCAAGCATTTCTCCTCAAAGCACAACCCCATGGTTGGCATCTTCAAACAAGCTCTGAATCAGTGCATTCTTTTTTTTCATGGGGTAGCCAGGAAGAGGTCATGCTAATCAACTCTTTATTCAATTCCCTATTAGAAATCACAACCTCTTCAGCCCATCCAGCAAAACTAACTCGCCCTCTCATTTCTCCACAGCACTGAGGCATATTTACCATTGCAAACAAGAAGATGGGGAGGAGCCAGGAAGAGCATCTAAGTACAATACCATAAAGGTTCAGACTGAAACTGAAATAGAGATAGAGCATTCTCAGTGCTGATGGGCACTTCTTCATTTTCCATCTGTAGCATGAAAATGGACAATATTGCTTAGATAAAATATGTATTTGTATTTACTTTTGCAAAAACTTCAATTGTTCTCCATCTCTGCAAACTTGCCAAGACCTTAATAGTTTCATTTAAGAATAATTTATGGTAGCCCTGGCTGGTGTAGCTCAGTGGATTGAGCATGGGCCTGCGAACCAGACAATCGCAGTTCGATTCCCAGTCAGGACACATACTGGGGTTGCAGGCCGGTTCCCTGCAGGCCAGTTCCCAGCAGGGGATGCATGAAAGGCAACCATACATTGATGTTTCTCTCCCTCTCTCCTTCCCTTCCCCTCTAAAGATAAATAAATAAAAATCTTAAAAAAAAAAGAATAACTTATGGTTGATAGGTTTTCCTAATGTTTTTATACTCTTTTCCTCAAGTCTCCCCTAAACTACATATACTGCCCATCAAATAAAAGTGTGAATGCATTTATATATATATATATATTTTAAAATTTTCATATTTAATTCCTTTCATTTTGACTACTACCCATACTATCATTATAAGAACACATCTGTTAAAATATCTTCCAACTAAAGCTTGGTAGGCTTTGAATGCTCAATAAAAATCATTCTCTGAGGCTAATGAAGACAGAAACTCTGCCCGTAACAATATTAAGTTTGTTTTCTCCAGTGGTTCAGAGAAGTGAGCAATCTGTCAGTAATACATTGAGTGAAATTACTTGTCTTGTAGGAATAACTGCTGACAGTCACTTTATCTCAGGGCTGACCCACACATCTCCCTGCTGACAAACAAATTACTATGTCTAACTTTGAAAAGGTAACTAGCTTGTTTTTAATTTTGATTGGTCTTTCAGAATCCCTTACACATACACTCAGTCCCATCCTTTTTTTTAAAAAGCGGCTGCAAAAAGTGTTTTGGGGGGATAGGTTTGAATTAACGAGTAAGGAAAAAAAGTAAAGAATGAAGGCCTTATCATTTGGAGCCAAGAAAAAGAAGTGTTAGTGCTTTTCCGCAAGACTGTTACGCCAATAAAACTGGGAAGTGTGTCTCTCCGACATTAAGACTGGCAGTGCCGCCAGTGACTGGGTGAGTGAACACGTTACCAAGGCAGTATTGTAGGAATTAATTTTCTCCAATAAAGTGATTTTTAAGGCTCATATATTTCACAATCTAAACATATGTCACTGTTTCATAAACAAAATAAATGGATTAAAATAATACATTACCAATATGCTGACATGTGGAGATATTTTAATTAGAAATTCTTAAGCTGTGTGATATTTAACTGCTGTATTTGCTAAAGAGGGCATGTATCATTTAATAAGAAGGCATGAGACAGGTGCATCACTTTGCATCACACAGTACCAGACTGTGTTTAATATAAGCCACAACTATAAGGCGACTTTACTCCCTTGTAAAAACAAAACAAAACTAAACTAAACTAAACAAGGTCACCGTAAGGATCTATCATATTGAAAGTCATCACATACAATGAATCAATACACTGAAACCACTTTTTCCTTTGGGGGGAAAAAGTCATTCAGAGCTTAGTTTCTAAGACAATATTTTTTCAGAAACAATCTAACATCTTAGCTATTTAAAGGGCATATTTACATGACTGCCTCATTATACTGGTTCCCCTGCCTTAACATTCTTTTCGACTTACTTGGAGCACCAATGCTAACATTGCTGAGGAAAGCAAATGGCAACTGGTCCTGAAATTTATACGGGTAGAGAACTGGAATAAGTAGCAATATAATATATTGTTTACTATAGCAAATGTCCTCTGTTCTCGAAAGGTCAAAAGCACTGTAACCTTAGAGTTACAGTTTCTGATTGTTCCCAGGGTTAAATACATTATCAAAATTAATGGTTCCAGCCCCTCAACATTCAGATATATGAGTATTCATGACTCCATCTGCTGAACTGTTCAACTAAAAATAGCATTCTTCGGCCCTCTCTCCTCTGATATTGTGCCCCTGAGGCAGAGAAAACCATGCCTTAGATTAGCACAGAAAACCGGAAAAGAAAAAAAAAACAAAGAACCTTTCCTGCATCTTCCTTATTCTAGAGAAAGAAAGAAGTGAAATACACTAATGCAAGGAGGGTCTTTCCACTTTAAATACCTTTTCTCTACTTGATAACGAAATTTCAGGCTTCCAGGGTGTTGAGATAAACACTGCTGAGATTTGCCCAGGCTTATTGATGTGAGAAGCGACAGCTTTGAAGGACAAGTTAACTTGCTCTTAGCAGTACAGCAGGGTGCGCGGGAGGTGGCGGGGTGGTAGTGGTGTGTGTGTGTTCTGGGATCTTCTCACTAAAACACTCTCTTTAGAAAGAAAGCCAGTTCACATGGTAAAGCTGCCTCAGTATCAACAGTTTATCACGATCAAGATTGTTGACCAAGCTGACATTTTAACTTGTCAAAGAAGAGGAGAACACCTTAGCTAGAAAAGAAAACAGACTTTAAAATCAATAAAGCAAGATATTATTAAATTTCCTCTATATTCTTGCTCAAGATTTAAAATATTAATGTTTGTAGCAGCTTAGATATGAGTATCTACTGTGCTCATTTGGATGTGCATAAACACCCAAATAAACATGCTATTCTAATACCAGGAAAGCTTGGGAAATCTGCCTTTCAAGCAAGGTCAATGTTTTTTAACCCACACGCTGTACAAGCAAACAGAACAAAAGTTTCCTGACACGTAGGAAAAAGTTGTAAAAAGTGGAAGCAAGAAAATAGAGCAAGCATAAACAAAAACCCAGGACACTCAAACCAGCCCAAGCTTCAACTACAAAGCTAGGAAGACTCCTGCTTCAATGGGTTCTCTATTTAGCCTAGTAAAAGTGACAGGCATCGGCAAGTGCTGTGCTTCTAGATCAGCACTGCTACAGCAGCACCAGGATCTGGCATTCACGTATGTGACATTATGGTATGAAAAAGCCCAGCAGAAGCCAGGTTTGACAGAACCACGAGTCAGTGGTATTTGGGGGAAAGAAGTCAATTTAAGTAACTTCTGAAAAATCAGGAAAAAGAGATTGGGTAGGAAATTGGCTAAGAGCATGTTGATGGGATAGAAATCAACACATCAGGAGAAAATAAAAATTAACAAAGAGAGGAAGTCTTGCATTTGTGCCAAGGCCACCTGCTTTCATGTTCTTTCAAGCACTTTAAAGTTGAACAAACTATCCTGCGAGAGTAAGCTTGTGAACCGTCATCACACATAAAGGCTTGTTCTTGATGTCCAGTTCTCTCTCTATTCAGCAGTCAGTTCTAGGCATGGTAGATTTCAGAATGTCCAGAAATATGGCACCTTTTCTATGTCCAAAAGCCTTAGAGAAGAGATCCCTTCCCATTGCACAGAAGACAGCGGACATTCTGAAAGGATATGCCTGGTCACGTCTGAGTGGAAACCCCTGTGTACTTCTCATATCATAGTGAAAGGGAACAGGAAAGTGGGCAGCAAGCTCTGGACCCTTCCTTAGGCTATTTCCAAGCTGGCCTTTAGTCTTGTCTTCTTCTTTCTCCTTAGGAGTAAACTTTGCCATTTTCCAAAAATGCACATTCCAAAGCAGCAGAGGTGGCAAAGGGACACTTTATTAAGTATATAGTATTTGATATGTATAGTACAGACCGGCAGAGCCAACAGAAGCTGAATATACAACTTTTGCTAGCTGTAATTATTTTCTTTCTTTTTTTAAAAATTGAGTTCCCCATCTTAGGTTAGAATATAAAATGTAGTATTACATCTAACCCAGAAAGTTAAAGTGTGTTTCAGTTTGACGTAACCTGTCCTATTTTGTGTGTGTGTGTATGTGTGTGTGTGATGCAACAGATACGTGGCAGCTCTCCAGTACCTGCAAGTCCCAGAGAAAGACACCAATGATACAGGAGGGAAATCAAGTGTGTAGTTAGAGAGTGACTAGGTCCCTGTGGAAGAAAGGGACTAGGTTTTCAAAAGAGTCATATAAGCTATCTTCTCCCAACTAGTAAGAATACTCCACAAAACAACAAAGAGCTTTATTGGAAGTTAAATATGAAAGGAATAGTATCAAAATTTATGGGGTAAAAGCAACTAGCCAGGCCCAGGCTCCCATCTCTGCTTCAGCCTGAGAAAACTAAATGAGAAAACCTGAATCAGGTAGAGTTAGAAATCCCAAGTGAAAATTCAGACTCCGTGAATATTGTGTGGCCTTTGTTAAATAATTGGACCTCTCTGAACCTCTTTGTCTGTACAAGCAAAATTATATTCTATCAACTTTACAGGGTTCTTGTATGGTCAAATGAGATTTTTTTAATGTTTAAGTGTTTTTTAAACATTATACATTACTATACCTAAAAATAGTAAAAGAGTAAGGGAAATAAAGATGGTTTGAGGACAGTCACAAAGTAAAAATTTCGCCTGAGTACATACATAGCAATCAACAAGCTGATTCAGGGGCATTGTTTTGATCTTTACCTTTTTTTTTAATGAAAGAAAAGGAGCAAAAATGAGCCTCCTTAGGAATAAAAAAAGGAAATGATTATGTCTTAGTATTTAGGCTGAGTATCTGCCACTTTTTCAAAAAGCCTAGAATATGACTGAGCAATCCAGTCCCCCACCCAATGAAGCACCAATGGAAGTATTCATACCTCAATCTGTTTGTGGTTGTAAGAGTGGCCACCACCATGTTCAAAGGTGTCCAAACTCCTGCCAAAACGGTCACTTAGGCCCTTTAGCCTTGGGTTAATTTGTGGGTGGGAAACATGACCTTTCTGTTTAGTAGCATATTCAGAAAAAAAAAAAAGACAAAACATACTGTCAGAACTCATGAAACAGAACACATATTTCTAAATCCAGGGTAATGAGCACACCAAAGAATAGAAAGTAGAAGGGTTAGGCCCCAGATGCTCCTTCCTAGAAACTTGGTTACAAGATCAAACGATGGTACTGGTTCTTATTTTTGCCTCTGGCTCAGGGCTGCACTCTATAGCACAGCCATCAAAAAAAGAGAGATAGATTAGGATTCCTATTAGCAAGGCTTCTTTTTAGATTTTACCAACTTCAGTAAATTCTAGCATTCGCAGTGAAGAAGGTTAAGGTTTGAGAGAGAGGTGGGGTTGTTGCTCCTATAAGGCACAATTTCTAAGTTCTGTTAGGCAGTCCGTAACAATAACATCTTCAATGCTTTCTGGATAAAGCGTCTAATTATAACATTCCTCAGAGTATTGCTAAAATTCTTAATTGCAGGCCCAATTGAAAATGCTCAAAATGTTGTTTTTTTCGTGGTAAAATATTTGCGCAGTTTTTATATTTTAAGTTATATAGGGAATAGCAAAGAAGAAAGTAAAATGCCTAGCCAGATGCTATTCCCTAGATTATTTTAGAAAACTCAAAATAATCACAGTAAATTATAAGAATAAAATACTATCTTTAAACTTCCCACTGCATGGAAATTAAAATAGATTATCATATTTTTTCTAATTATGTGAATTCTAAAGGTTCAACCTGTACTTTAATATTTATTATCTTTTTGTTAAAATAGCCACTCATATTTAAAGTCAATTTCCCATTAAAATAGCAGGTGCTGGAAGGGTGTAAAGAACACCTAGCCCTACTCTAAACCCTTCATTTTACTATGAAGAAGATTGGTGGAAATGATTTTTTCATTCAGCTCCTTAAACACTTTCCCATCAAGTGTAGATTTTAAGTAAGGAATGCTAATCCAGAACTTGGTCAGACACCATGCTCAGACTTCCCACCTGGGATGAGGAAGAGGATAAGATGAAACACACGCACTCAGGTGCAATGTGTTTACATTTTACTAAATAGCTAAAGTAATTTGTTAATAACAACCCCCTCTTTTAGGAGCTGCTAGAAAGAAAATATCTAACATCGTTTTCTGTTTTGATGCTTATATGTAAAAGCTACTTTGGCATAAGTTAAAACATGGGTGAAAACTGAAAAGGAAAAAGCTGATGTAGCCAATAACAACTAGCCATGAAGAAATTATAAAACCATTAACTCACCTGGTAGAGAATATACATAGTTTTAAGTCATCGTGTCATTTTTCCTTTAAAAATATTGAAACTGGCACTTTTCTATTTGCAGTATGGTAAGTACACAAGGTGTTAATCCTCCTAGGCTATGCTTAAAAAATTATTTAACATTCAGGCCATTATTTAGCATACAGCTGGTTAGCAGTTTTCCACTAAAGTACTGGCTCGTATCCCACATTTTTTTCTTCTGGCACATACCTGGAGCTGTAAAGGGCTGAGTCCAGAAGCAGCAGCAGCTGCCATTGTTGATGGAATGAACTGTACGGGGTAGTTATCACCTGTCAGAAAGAACAATGCATACAGGTTTAGACAATGCACAGGGAAGCGCAGCAGACAAGTACAAACATGGTCCTTGGATTGCCTGAGCTTCACAACATTGCTCTAAGCCCAAACATCTGCAGAAACAAAAGGCTTAGTTGGGCACGGACTTGCAGTGCTGCCTTGGAACTTTTTGTTAACAGATAGCTGGTAGGCAAACTGGCAAAACATGAATGTGATGTTAAAAAAATTAAATGTGCAATTCAAGCATGTACACTCCATTACAAATCTTGTAATACATCATTTTTTTAAGAGTAAAAAAATATCTTCAAGCCAGGCTGACACTCAGTTCACTGAGAAAGCATTAAGGCTTTTGTGTTAGGACAACAAAAAGTTTGGCTTAGTGGACAAAGCAGAGTGTTACAGTCCAAAAAAGATTATGAGCTATTGACTGTCCATAACCCTAAACTTTATTTTATAAAAAATAGAAAAAATTTTAAAAATGTGAATCTTGTCTGCCTGCATTCTGTGAAATGCCTGGTATCCCAATGGGAGTGGAAATATTATTTTTCTGGATTAACTTCTGAATTCTAGGTGGATCCCAGAATCATACACACAAGGCACTTATCACTTACTTCTTGGTGATTTGATTAAATAAACACACATTTTACATGGAATATCTGCATTAGAAATCTGGAAAGGTTTGAGCATGGTTCAGCGGAACTCACTGCTACATCTTACTGTGTCTCTGACTCCAGACCACTCCTAAGAAGGGGGACTGAAGTACCACCTGTGCCCTAAAAACACAGACTGTGTGCAGTGACCTGAAGAACCAAGAGAAAGTGATAAGGAATGTGTTGTGATAGTGGTGACTGAAGTCAAAATTAATACTTGTGGAAAAATTACACAATATCAGTGATTTAATGGAGTATCACTTTGGCTTCGGCTACTTATTTAAAGTCAGCGTTATGTACTATCTCTAGGCTATATTTTAACAGGCTGTTCCTCCACACATTTTTGACATTTATAATGATCATGCTGTTTTGCATGAACTTTTCCACACTGAAAGCTGAATGTAATAATGGAAAAACAGTACAAAAAGAATCGCAGTAATACAGGTAGTCAACTGGAAAGCAGTAGAACTTTTTCAGCATGGACACTAATACCTGGAGCCTTCCTGAAGGCCCTGCTTCCTCGGAACTCATCCTGCTTCCACGTGAAGTGCTGCTCAGCTGGCCCAATGTAAATGTTAAGTTGCTTTCACTTTCAACAAATTGTTAGCTTCTAATCTACACAGTCTCTTTGCATCATATCCATAATACCTCATCAGACCATTGAGCACAGTGTGTGCTTGTACACAGTCCAGTAACAATTGGCTTCTGATTGCATATGGAGCGCGGCTACAATGCATTCACTCACACTATATTGTGCGGGTCTCCTATGGAGTAATGTTCAAAATATCTGATCTTGTTTTTCCCCTTCCATGAGGTTGATTTTGGTTTGCAGTGCTACATGAGCTTTTTAAAAAAGATAACTAGGCCAAATTATTTTTTACAGTAAATGACTGTCTCTTTGTGCTTAAATAATTCTACTGATCTTCTTGATATTTAAACTAAATTATCTGACGAAAGAATATTCTGATCTAAGTCAAATAGTATTTCTTTGGTTGATATCTTATCAGGTTAAAAAAATCACAAAACGATGCTGAATTAATGATGCTTCAAAAATAGGGGAAAAAAATCACCATTCCAACCATCAACATGGACTGCCTCCCGGAACATTTAGAGCTATTCTTTTTTAAATATCATGCATTATTCATACTAACTCTAAAACGCAACCCCCACCCCCTGTAAGTTTAATACCAGTTGCTGTATTTGTACTAAAACATTTTTCATGTCAAACATATTTTAAAAAATCAAACTCTAAAAGAATTCCCCGAGGCACTCCTTCTTTCATAGCTGTCATGCTTCCATGCTATGAAATAGCTGATTTTTTAAAATAGTTTTTGGCTTGCTAGTTAATTTATTACTATTTCTACCACACCCTGTAGTATTCTCCAGCTCACCTGCTGGCTACAAACAGCTTTCTCTCCACTGTGACAAGCATATTTTTAAAATGTTCTTAACCTTTCTGCTGGTTTGAATCTGTACTTCTAACTATAATCTTTGGAAAGGTATTTCTCCAGAACGTATCATTATATATTAATACTAAAAGTAAAAATGAATACATTAGAGCAACAGAGAATAATTAGAAGACAGAGAAAAAGGGAAAGGCAAGAAAGGGAGAAGATATGGGTGAAAAAAAGAGTGGGATTAAAAGAGAAAAACATAAGAGGGAGAGGGATTTAGGGTATTGTGAAGTTTAATTTTTTTTATAATGAAGTTATATGCTCTCCCCCACCCCCTCTGGTTTTCTCTGTGTAAGAGCCAATCAAGAAAAAGTTCTCAGTGGCTGACTTGGCAAGAAACCAGTCAACATGTTGTAGCAATTTTTTTCAAATTTGTCTCTGGATTTGAAATGCTTACGTGAGGAGCCATTCTTTTTAAATTTGTACAAAGGAAGATGAAGCCTGTTGGAACAGGTTGGCTTTAGGTGCTGCTGTGATCTGGCTCTTGCTATACCGCTAGTGTAAGGAGACAACCTTTGAGAGACAGTTTGGGGAAGAATGTGCCTTCTCCAAATCCATCTTTCCAGCCTTCTAGATTTTCCAATGGACTATTTGTACCAGAGGATTAACAAAACAGTTTTTAAAACCTACAGAAAATTTGCCTAACAGTAATTATAGGTAACATTTCTTTGAAATCGAAGCAGCTCCACAGAAAGAGTGCCTGAATGACAGAAATGATATTGTTTAATTTTCAGGGAAACTGAAATGAAGTCAAAACCTATTAGGACTTAAATACAAGAGACAGGGGAGCTTGTACTAAGAAGCTAAGACCCATTAGACTCTGTCTACCTCCTGCAGGAATACTCTTAATTTGTGTAATTCAGGTAAAAATTCCACTTTTTTTTTAAAGTTAAAAAACCCCATAGGTAAAATTCTGCCCATTTACTTTGATTCTTCAGAAAAACAAGGGACTGGGATGGCTGTGGTGTCCTGAGTTATTCCACTCAGATACTAACCTACTGAGAAAATTAAATTAAAGAGATTGGGAAGAGTAGAGAAGATTCTTCAATAAGTGGCTCAAAGTCTCGTACTGTATTTTACACCCTCCAAAACAGAAGAAAAATACATGACACATCCCTAACTATCTCTCAGATTATTGTGTGGTGGCATCATAGGATGGTAAATTACCTGAGTGGTTAGATAACTTATATATAGACCTCATTTTAATAAGCTGTCATCATTCTTGGTACAATATACAAATATTTCAATCACTAACACCAGTACAGACTTGGACGTACTGCTTTGCATCTTGCCTGGATGTATGTATCCAGAGCAGGAAAATATTACAACTCCCCTATGTCCTAAGAAACTGCCATAATCAATCTGAATTTATCTTGGTGAGACATCACATTGCAGCAAAAGTAAGTAGGTAATAAGTGACACTTTTAGAATCCTAAAAAAGAACAAAACCTTCCATTTGACAACTGGACAAAAAACAATGGCCAGGGTTGTAGCACAAATTCTTGAGATCAGCGTGCTCTTATTTCTCCCACTAAAGTCTCCTCTGCTCATCAAAGAGGAGATCATGATGAGAAGAGTTTTGATCTTAGGACTTTTCCTAAGAGTATCTGCCTTGTTTTTGATAACTTTAAAGAAGTTATGAATCAAGTATTAATCTTAATTTCTTCATCTATTTCATAGATGCATCTACGCCCATGACCAATATATAAAAATCCATGGAGTTTGTCACAATAGCCATTAAATAAGGGTGGATGAACTGATATAAATCCACCCTCATTACAAGAAATCAAATTAAAATCACAACTCAAACTTTATGTTTTAATGACAGTTCACCAGTGATATAGCCTTCATATATGTACGAAGGACAGTTAAAATAATCTTAATCTCCATAAAACCAAGTTAGTTTACATGGGTGAACATATTTTCTTCCTGGACCTCAATATTTTTATTTAAAAATTAGAGTACTAATCTGAACAAACCTCAGATGTTTTAATTTTAAGTAGGTAGATTTAATAAAATATTTGAGCACCTCTGCTTTAGTTCTGGAAGAGGTAGAAATGCTAGCTTTACAACATGTCATTTGGATAACAACATATATATAAATTACATGAAACTAGACATTTCTTAATATTATACATACTTAGACCAATGGTCCCCAACCTTTTTAGCACCAGGGATTGGTTTCAAGGAAGACAGTTTTTCCACAGACCAGGGGTCAGGGATATGGCTTTATAGCCTGCCACCAGATGCATGTCACTTGCCACTCACTGATAGGATTTTGGTATGAATCTGCAAGCAATTGGTTTATTATGGTCTCTGTGAAGTCCAACCTTTCTGCTAACGATGATCTGTATTTGCAGCTGCTCCCCAGTGCTAACATCACTGCCTCAGCTCCACCTTAGACAATCAGTTAGTAGATTTTCATAAGGAGTCTGCAACCTAGGTCCCTCACATGTGCAGTTCACAGTAGGGTTCACTCTCCTATGAGAATCTAACACCATCACCACTGATCTGACAGGCAGTGGAGCTCAGGTGGTAATGTGAGCGATGGGGAGTGGCTGTAAACGCAGATGAAGCTTTGCTTTCCTGCCACTACCTCCTGCTGGGCAGCCCTGTTCCTAACAGGTCACAGACTGATGCTGCTCCATGTCCTGGGGTTTGGGGACCCCTGACTTAGACCATGTCTGCAAGAGTGTAGAGTACCGAATCAATCCATTCTATCTTTACTAATTTCTAGATGGGAAAGCTTGGAAAAGTTAATCAACTATTTGACTTTTAGTTTTTTTCCTTTTAATAGAATAGAAAAAAATGCCACTAACATCTTAGAGTTGTTATGAAAATTAAATGACTATATATTACACTTATTTATTTTATTTAAACATAAACATTTTG